GTCTCTCTTTCTCTTTCTTTGTTTTTCAATCTGACTCTGACATGGTATCAGAGCAGGTCACGATCTGATCTGCAAGTAACTTCTTCATCACCCATTTCTTATMTGTTATCTAGAGTACTCCGTAACAGTATTTGGAAGGCTCTTGGGTGTCCTTGAATCCTATTTCTGAGGTTGCATTCAATCAAAACTCGACAAACTCTTCATGGACTATTGTGCCACCAGATTTTTCTTTTGGTTTGGACCTCCCTCTAGAAGTATCAGATCAGACTGAAACTTTAGATCTAGTGTCACCCAGGGCAGATCTATTGTTTCCAATTGGTTTGGTTTGAATCAGATTTGATTCAGAAGGCTTTTGAGCCACTTTAGAGTTTGGCAGACCCTTACGGTTTCCTTTTCTGGACATCTACTGAGAGGTACTTCTTTGTTCTACTATTTTGAACACTTATTTATGTGGTTTTTCTTGCTCTTGTGATTCAATAGCATCAAAAAGGATGGAAATTTCCCCATCAAGTTTAATGGTATGAACTATGCACTTTGAAAATTCAATTTCCATTTTCATGTAGAGGCGAAAGGTCTCTGGGGATATCTGGATGGATCAATACTTAAACATGATGATTCGAACATCAAGGATCTTAATCAATGAAGAATTAATAATGCAAAAATTGCATCATAGATCTTAGGATCTGTTGAAACTGACGTTGCAATTTCTATGAGACGATACAGGACTGCCTATGAGATGTACGAGTATCTCGAGAGAGTATATTAGCAATCAAACACGTCAAGACAGTACCAAATAGAAGTTAACATCTTCTCCTATTATCAAGGAGAAAGAAAGGTCCAAGAGTACTATGTTGGGTTTATTAACCTTTGGACTGAATATGAGCTTGTTCACATGGAAAATGATCCTTCTGAATGTTGTGTGAAGTATATAAAGGAACATTTTGATAGAAGAAAGATTATGCACTTCCTAATGCATCTTAGACCTRAATTCGAAGTTGTTAGATCTAATATCCAGAGTCAATGAACACTTCCTGACTTGAATACTATTCTTGGGGAAATTCTGAGGGTTGAAACCAGATTTGCCACACAGACTACTCTGGATGGAAGAAAGGAGTCCAACATTGGTACCGTCTTTCTAGCAACAAAACCGAAAGGGAAGAAGAACTTCTCTAAAATACAGTGCTATGAAAGAAAGGAGTTAGGGCATGTTGTTTCTCATTGTAAGAAAAAAAATACATGCACCTACTATAAGTAAGTCGGCCATATTATCACTGAATGCCCCACTCGGCCTCAGAAAAACAATGGATCAAATTAAAAGAAAGGAAGCTACAAGGCTTATCAGATGGGTGTAGATGGATCAGATGCAACATCCTCCATTACTTTTGTGACTAGCCAAAATGACACTTTAGGTAGCATGTCTGAAGAACAAATTCGATAACTCATGTTCTCTGCCATCTCTTCAGCCTTCTCTGCTATGGGCATGTCTAGTAAGTCTCCTACTTACTATCCCTCACCGAACCATCTATAGTACATTGACTCAAGAACCTTTAACCATATGACAGCGGCCACTCTTGGTCAATGTCCTAAACCCCATCTCCCTAATAAACACATTGTTAGTGCTAATGGTGAGAAATTAGATATACTTGGATGTGATGATTTGTATTTATCTACTTCTAAGTCATCTCCATTTCATTTGTCCAAAACCTTATTTGTACATAAGCTTACCACCAATTTAATTTCGGTTGGCCAACTTGTAGAGGAAGGTAACAATGTCTTATTTACTTCTAATGGTTGTTTGATATAGGACCGACAAACTAAGGAGGTGAAGGAGAAGGGGCGTAGACTGGGAAGACTCTTTGCTCTAGAATTTGAGAAGAATAAAACTGTGTCTGCTTCTACTTCATGTTTGATTTCTACTACTTCTAGTTTTGAATCTGTTAATTGTAATAAAGATTGGCAGTTGTGGCATAAACGTTTGGGCCATCTTTTCTCTAAGAAACTTGATCAGTTGTTTTCTTTTGGTAGTTTACCTGTTTCTAATGTTTCTCTTAAGAATGTGAATAAAGATTGCATTACTTAAGGCTTATGTAAGAGTCATTGCCTTTTACTTCTTATTCTAAATACGCAACAGTCCCTTTTTATTTAATACATAGTGATGTTTGGTCTTCTCCAGTTGTCTCATGGATAGTTTTTAAATATTTTGTAACATTTATTGATGATTGAACTCGTTTCACTTGGGCTTATTTTCTTCAAAAGAACTCTGAAGTGTACACCGTATTTCAGCACTTTCACGCCTATGTTACCACTCAATTTGATGCCCAAATTTGTGTGCTACGATCGGATTCAGGGGGAGAGTAATTGATGGGGATTTCCAAAACTATTTAAAACATGGAATTCAAACCCAAAAGTCCTGTCCAAGAACGCCACAACAAAATGGGGTTGCAGAAAGGAAAAATGGGCATATCTTGAGTGTAGTTAGAACTCTTCTACAGGATTCCCACGTACCCTCTTGGTTTTGGATGGAGGCGGCCAGCACTGTTGTGTATCTCATAAATCGTCTTCTGTCATCAGTTTAAATAACTCMTTTCCATTGTAATCCCTCTTCTACAAATCCCCAGACTTATCCATGCTCAGAGTATTCGGATGTGCCTGTTTTRTCCACCTTCCACCCCATGAAAACACAAAGTTAACTACACAAGCAACTTTGTGTGCCTTTATGGGGTACAACTCTGAACATAAAGGGCATCTTTGCTATGACCCTTAGATTCGTCGTATTCGAATTTCTCGTAATGTAGTTTTTCTTGAAAGTGTCATTTTTGAACATATTGTGAAATTCCCAGGTCCTATTTCCTTGCTGCACAATTTTGATTCTATAGGTACCTCGAAAACTCCATTGTCACCTCTGCAACAACTTCAGACCTACTTCACGAATGACACCCTAAAAGTTATATTTATATTAAATATGTAATAACATATTAAAAAAATACAACAATAATTACAATTATTATTGTACTAATAATAACATTATTTCACATATCAATTAATAATTCTAGAAAATAATTTTCAAAAAAATTAATATTTATTAGATTTAATGTATTTTAGTTTTAAAACTATTGGAGATTAAACTATTGTTATTTAACTTTTGAAATTTAATTTATTATACTTATTGAATCTATTGTACTTTTGTTATAGAATTATTTTTAGTAATTATGTATTGTCATTATAATTTATTGATTAATATTTATTAGAGATTAAACTATTATTAGAGATTACACTATTGATTAATTTAATATATTTTTAATAATTATATATTGTATTTTCATTATAAATTTATTTTCATTAATTTATGCATTTTTCTTTAAATTTTAAATAATTATTAAACATTATGCTATTGTTATTTATTAGAGATTAGACTATTAATTTAGCTGAAATTAATTGTTGTTATTTCCGTATTATAAAAATATTAAAAGTAATATATAAAGTATAAATAATTATTAATTATTTAAAAAATATAAAACATTATCCATTTTTATATATTTTTATTTTTTCACTTTCACTTAACAAAGCCCACGCATTGCCACGGGCACTAATGTATTTTGAGATTTCCATATTTTAACCAAATAGGACTCCACAAATTTACGGGTTTCTTGACTCACTTCATAAGCTGGTACATTAGTACATGAAAGCCGTCCAAGCAAGCACTGACAAGACACTGGAGCCGCACATCACTAATACATCTCACTTGTCTTTGACAGTTGACACCCCATCCCACCCGGCAAAAAAATAGAAGAATAAGAAGAAAATTGCCCGTAGGTGTGAAAAGTGGCTTCCAATTCCTAAGGCTGTGTTTGGTTGCGCAAATTTATTTGCACTAATACAAATGTGAAAAATGCAAATTCTTGTTTAATTTTATTTTGAATTTTACTTTATTTTGTTTCATGTCTTAATTTAATTCATTTATATTGCAATCAAACAAAATAAACTAAAATTTGAAACAAAAATAGGTCAAAATTTACACTCAAATCATTTGCACTACCATGATTTTGCATCAGTGCAAATTTATTTGCATTGCAACCAAACACAGCCTAAGGCTCAGTTTGGGAGGAGTACAAATGCAGATATGTACAGTAGAAATGCATACAAAATAATATAAAATACAAGGTTCTGCACTCTACATATTTGTATTTGTACTCTTTCCAAACTGAGCCTAATAGATTTTCTTTGTATTTTCGAATCATCTTTGACCCGAACGATCGGACCATTCAGCCTGAAAACTGTTCAGGCAATCGGTTGCATTTCACCCTTGACCTGTTCTTGGGCCAAAACCATTGATTTGGTTAGAGAACCTCTGGCCCGAGCAGTCAAACCGTCAACCCATTCGACCCAAACAAGGAAGAAGAGATTGAGATATGAGGGCCTGATACAAGAATGATCTCAGATCTGAGATCATCCGAGAGAGAGAGAGAGAGAGAGAGAGAGAGAGACTGGAGAGAGATGCTGCGTTTCTGTTGTCAATGCTGTCACCGTCACCATCACCATTGTCATTTCCGGGTGAATGTCAGACGATCCTCCTTCACTCCTTCCCTCCTTCCCTCCTTCCTTTCTTTCCTTTCACTCTACTCTTTTTTACTCCTTCCTTTCTCTCTTTCCTTTCATTCTTTCTTTCCTTCTTTCTCAGCCGAGTGCCAACAACCAGATGTCTCTTTCTCATAATAAAGGACTAAACCACCTGAACCATTTGACCCAGATAGTTGAACCACTGACCCAAAAACCGGTGGCCAGAGCAGTTCCCTTTCCAGGTCAGTTTCTAAAACCTTAGATTTTCTTACCTTCTCTGGTAGTATTGGAGTTCCTTTTTTCTGTCAAAAACTTCGTTAAAGGTATATTGCTGTGTAAAGGGTATACTGATTACTGACAGGCCACAGTCCCCATTGGTTCAAAATATGCCCAAGATTCCATTTCTCAAGTCACAACTCACAACCTACCACTGAATGAAGCACTAAAGTATTCAACTAAAAGTTTATTGATAAAAATTAATATAAAGTAACTTGAAATTCCAACTCACTAGATGATGGCAAATGCCTAAACCTATGCAACAATTTTGCAAGACTCCTATTAATTTACATCACCTCTGTAACCTTTTAATTTACATATGCAGCAACAGTGATAAATCACACCATATCACTGACAACAAAGTACAGAATCCTAATCAAATCAATATTAGGAAATYAAATAGACTACTGTTTTTTGATAATTATCAAATAGACTAATGTTTCACCAATCGATACCCAATTCCCTTGACTGGAATAGCTTGTCAATATAAAGTATAACAGGAGCTGATGCAGCAATATAGGTTTGCATCTGAATCCTTGAGGAAGCCTCTGAAAGCATCAATAAACATGGAATGCATCAGATTGTAACCATGAGTGTGGCCGTAATACATGATAAAATTGAAAATGTGTGGCTACAATATTGAGCAAGTATCGGTCTAAAGCTCTGGTTAGCACTCAACCAAGCCATTTACCATTCAGAGTTAACACCAAAGCCTATAAGTTGAGCTCCGGTAAATATAAAAGTTTTGGCTTCAGACCCCAATCCCTAAAGACTTTAAAGTCTCCCAATTAGTCCAAGTTTTAGTTGGATTCTGTAAAATCTAAATAGCTCACAAGTTAACTACATGTCTGCACTTGCATTGCATGACAAAATGAGCCCTAGTCATGATGGCATTCAGTCATTCAAATTTTCCAAAGAATCAGGTKTGACAAATAAATCTATTCTGCAAGTCAATAATTTGGATTAACCAATTGAGTTTTCAGTAACATGTTAACCATCTAAACAAACCAAATTGTTTCCTAGGTATTCCCTTTCTCTTCCTTTTTCTTTTTCAAAGTTTGATGGTGTGTCAACAGATGAGCAAAGGACATGAGAACTGGACTTAAAGTTGCATTAATGTATAACTATCTTATCTATTTGATGATTGAGGAGGCATTGACTTACCATCTTCATTTAGCTTCCTCAAGAGTTGGGCTCTTGTAGGAAGGGCATACATCCCTGCAGCAACAGCTTTCCTGATAGCCCACCCATGGTGCGGAGCAAAGACCTGGTCATAAGCCTTGGAAGCTGGACCTTTGAGGGAATTTCCCCTGCTAACAAGTGTCATGTATTGTCAGAAAATGCAAGACACTTTTGATTCAAGTAGAAAAAAAATCACTTGATGCTTTGTAAAACCAATTCTTATTCCAGAAGTATCTTTGTGGTAGTCAAACTTGACATTTAAAACTGTTAAAAGACTAGACCAAGCAAATTGAATTAGGTTAGGTTGGTTGAGTTTGGTCAGGCCACAAGTCGAACCTCTTTTTTATTTTTTATTTTATTTTATTTTATTTTTGGTATTTAGACATTAGTGGGGATTCATGGGTAGGGACAGAGCAGGGTGCACATGAGGCCCACAGGTCAATACCACTGAGAACCCGCAGAACTGCAGGTTTGATCCCACACCTCTTTTGGTGYGACTCCAAGTGACCATCTCAACAAATATTAGTACATATGGCAGATGCCARGAGGAAAATCCAATTAAGGATCCTGTGTGCATACACACACTAGAATCATGGTTGCATACAGAGGTCTTCAAGTCACTATTTGATGGATCCCACCAGAGAGATCTCATAGGGAAACATGAAAGCATGACTATTGACATTTTTTGATTGGATATCTTCCTTTTATGGCTGAAAATTGCAGTAGATTGGACTGGATGGTTAGGAACATATAACATATTATTTTGTGATAAAATACAGAATGGAAACCAGACTGACCAATTTCTACAATGCAGCCATCCTTGTTCTTTTGTTTTTTGTTTTCTCAAAAAGCAGCAGGCAAAAGCAAAGTATAAATGGGCTTTCATAAAAACAGCTCTCAAAGGCACAGAGCACTAACATCATTAAAACATAAGAGAAAAAACAGATATTATAAATCACCACCCGGTCCCAGGCAGCCCCATTCCAGCTGATTTTTCTCTCTACCCCAGCCCTAGCAAGAGTCAGCCAGGCCATTAGCACTCTCCTAGGCACCCAATTGAATGAAGAATTCAATAAGGAACCCAAGTATTGTGCCTGTCTTACCAATGGCCTAACCTTCCAAGGTATTAGGTCCTGTTTCTTCATCCAACAGATAAGAGTTTGACAGTCACCTTCCACCTCCATGTTCTTTAGGTCCTTTAACCTCATCAGTTCCAGCCCCCTAGAGCTTTCAATTCAGCCCTTAAAGAGGTACCATATCCAATAGGCCTAGAGTAGCTGAGTAGGATGTTCCCATTATGGCCCCTGACAACAACCCCAATACTTGAGTTTCCTTGGTTCCCAAAGCTGCACCCATCAAAATTTAACTTAAGCTTCCCTGCTGCTGGTGCACACCAACTGACCACCCTCCCCAAATTCCTTTCCTGAAAGTCAGCAATAGATTTCCATCCCCTTAACAGATCATTTAGGCTGTGTTTGGTTTGAAGGAAAAAGTAGGGAAAGGAAGGGAAGGGTAGGGAAACCTTTACAAACCTTGTATAGGTTTCCCTACCCTTCCATTCCTTTCCCTACCTTTTCCTTCAAACCAAACATAACCTTGGGGAAACGCCTTAGAATTTTTTGGTCACTAAAGTCCAATGGGCAGCGCTAATCATGGTGAGCTCAAATAACTCCTCCACACCTCTTGCTTTCTCCTTTGTACTGACGTTCCTTTCAGGCAATAGACTCCATAGCACAGCACACCTAACACATTGCCACAGAATTCTGTGTCTTTTTTTCTGGATAAATAGAATTTTGTCTCTTTGTGTAACATCTTATTCAGTTTGTGCCAAACAACTCTTTAATATCTGTAGGAAATACACCCCACTAGAGAGAAAGAGTATTCCCATAACTGAGAGGTGAAGGTACAATGCAGCAAGAGATGGTTAGTGGTTTCCCCACTTCTCAAACAGATGACACATACATGAGGTGAGAGACACCCCCCTTTCCCTATTGGTGAGGTTTGGTGCAGAGCAATACCTCCTAGGGTTGGTAGTTTTTGTTGGGAAGCCTATCTGGAAAGAATCAA